TAGTCCGGTCTTGCAACCACAGGCCTGAGATTCCGAAAAAGCAAAAGAGAGTGGAGGTATCAACACAATCCACCGATGCAGCCGTGTAGGGCACCAACCAGGTTATCACATCTGATGCCATTTAATTCGGAGAACAACATCGATTCATGAATTTGCAAGTGTACTTAACTCTTGAAAATCGACAGTAGCCACTTCTTTGCATGTCAACAGCAGAGATTCTACATGCTTACACTCGCTTACACCATCTTACACCTTGCATGGACAAAGGGAGGTGTATCCATGGGGCAGCCGAGTCACACTCACAGTCTTTGCCGCTCAGCAGAGCCACGAAAACCTGGCCGCTTGCTAGATTCTGCTGAATTTGAAGCGGTTTAGATGCGTTCAGATTGAATTTGATGGCAGACCACGAGAATTTGCACTCGCAAACACACGGTCCAACCAGCCAGTTCCCAAGTATGCCTGTGTCAGCACAATTTCAGCACTACAGTACTACAGGCACAAAAATCCGCCCACACCGCTTTGGCGGTGAAGGCGTGCTTATTGGGGGGCAACAGCAACACTAAATGCTCAATGACATTTGTTAATATAGCAGTCGCTATATCAGCTTTAGCTGGGGGGGGGGGCCAAAAACGGTTTCGCACCGAGACCAGACCCCAAAAACGGTTTCGCACCGAGACCAGAATACGGTGGTGTTTTCGACATTTTTCGAGGATTTTTGGGTGTCTGAGCGCAAGAGGGTATTGAAATGGAATTTTGGGTCATTTTGGTAGCTTTCCGGCAATGGAAAAACGGCCAAAAATGAAAAAAACATTGTACATAGCAAGATTTTGCAGGGTTTTTGGATGCCAGAGCATTGAAAACACTGCAAAAACAAGTGTTTTGGACTGACGTTATAGCAAAAAACGTGTAAATTACCGTATGCTTGACTGGAAGCATTACAAAAACACTGTCAAAAGCAATGTTTTGGAAGGATTTACTGCCTTTATGGCAAAAAACGTGTAAATTGCCGTCTGTTTGACTGGAAACATTGGAAAAACACTGTCAAAAACAATGTTTTGGAAGGATTTCTTATATATATGTTGGAGTTAGCTACCGGCATTGGAACATGGAAAAATTGAAGAAAACACTGTAAATAGCGGTATTTTCAACGGTTGGGGAGATAAGGGAATTGGAAGCATTGTCGAACATGATGTTTTCGACCGGGTTTATGGCGACAAAAGTGTAAAGTACCGTGCTTTGAAGGAAACCATTGCAAAAACATGGAAACACATTCAAAGAACACGGGATTTGGGGGACTATCTAGGCGTCGTTGTCTAGCTATTTGAAATTCCGCAGCTTGGAGAGCATCCAAGGGAGGGAAAAGTGAAAATTCCATAGCTTGGGAAGCTGTCACGGCGGGGAAAAGTGAAAATTCCCTAGCTTGGGAAGCCCCCACGGGGGGGAAAAGTGAAAATTCCCTAGCTTGGGAAGCCCCCACGGGGGGAAAAGTGAAAATTCCCTAGCTTGGGGAGCCCCCACGGGGGGGAAAAGTGAAAATTCCCTAGCTTGGGAAGCCCCCACGGGGGGGAAAAGTGAAAATTCCCTAGCTTGGGGAGCCCCCACGGGGTGGAAAAGTGAAAATTCCCTAGCTTGGGGAGCCCCCACGGGGGAGGAAAGTGAAAATTCTTAGCTTGGGGAGCCCCCACGGGGGAAAACCACCCTTAGCCCCTCTCACGGACCGAAATAAACCTGCGGTGTGGGCGGCCACCCCACGCGAAGCGGGGTGAATAATGAACAACTGAACCTTCTGACATATTGAACACGGTTTTGGCATGGGACTGGCTCCCGCAAACCCATGACCTTCTTGTCATCGCCGTCCTTTGCAAGGTCGTGAGGTGTGGTGCCTCGCAACACAACTCAGCTCCGAAAGCCAAACATCTGCAGCACCGAGCCAGAACAGAAAAGCCCACAGATCCCACAGGAACTTCATGATTTCATGCTCTTTCGCTCTTGCGGCGAGGTAAAAACATGTCCACGATACTGTTGCACGATTCCGAAAATCACTTGGTTGCATGCAATTCCTGCAATTTGCTCTGGATATGTGCAGGATTCAAATTAGTTAAAAGGTGAGGCCCTGAAAGGTGAGATCCTGAAATCGAAAGACTGTGAGACATGAGACTTGGACCATCGTGAAAGGCCGCACTTTGACAGAGTAATGTTTCTACATTGACATGAAAGAAATATAATTTCATGTCTTTCAACCTGAACAATCTCAGCGCGAAGCACGGCGAGGGTTGGATCACAATCTCATTTGGAGCGAATGAGTGGCCAAGCACTGCTGTGTCTCAGGGCAGTGCACAAATTATGTAATGTAAAAGGAAATCTCTATGCCAGGAAATACTTTTCAGAAAATTAGCTTTCTGATTCAAAATACAGAATCAAAGACCACCATAGACTGCTTGTTTTGCTTTCAAGAGATTTGCGTTTTCAAGAGAAACCAACATCTCCAATTCTGCGCCCACTTCTTAGGCAATCCGTTGACCCTGATGAACCTACTGGTACAGCTAATACTTCAGAACTCCAGCAGACAAATCAAGACATCTTAAGGATTCTTAAGGTCTGAAAAGTCAAGACATCTTGACATCTTAAGGTCTGAAAATTCTGAAAAGTGTCCGTTTCAGCCGACAATCAGGATCATACATTCTAACCAAAAATTCTAAGACGCTCCTCCCGCGGAAACAGCCCCTGCCACCAACCATCAACATCTCCGTGGCCTGCATGACTCACCAGCTCTTCGGGGTCCTGGCACACCGAAAACAAGAACTAACACCTGCAATATGCACTGTACCCTTCTGGTATTTGGGATATCACTTTGTCCGAGATCTTCACACTTGAGTGTGATTGGAGATCAAGGTTTGCACTTGGAGGCATGGGGCCCAGCTAATTCCTGTGCGCAAGCAGCACTTGTGAAGAGACGTTGAACGCAGTTTTGCCAAGGGACTGACACCGGCAAGGCCATCAGCTTATGGTCGTCTCTTTTACGAGGTCATGAAGTGTCACGCCTGCAACACGAATCAACGAGGCCTAACACTACCAGGTTGTTGAAGACTTTTGGATATGTTTGGCATGTTGCTGCCCACGCGATCTGGAGCTGATGTGGTTCTGGTTTCGGAGTTGTAGTACCAAGCTCAGAAGAGTGCACCCCTTCAAATTTAACTGAACTTTGCAAGGTCAACGAAGCTCATATGAAATGCGTGGAATTGATTTGTTCATTGAAAATGCACTGAGAAAACATGGGGAGTGTGGACGAGGCTGCTGCATGATACAAGATTTCAATAGATTTCATGGTTGGACTGAAGTGGGTAATTGCAAGTTTTGGATCGCCCACAGAAACACTCGTCCAAATACCTACAAACTCCTCTAGGCAGAAAAAAGTGCCTAACCTGCAGGTGGGCGTTTATTTCTGCCGATTCCCAGAATAAATGCCTAGGCCCAAAAAAAGCCGAGGCTGATAAATTTTTGTATGGTCTTGTCACGTTGTTCAGTGCAGAAAAATGTTTCGAACAAAAATTCTGCCAAATTCCGCTTTTTCCGCCTAGATTCCGGGTTTTTCCGCCTAACTTCCGGGTAAAAATGCCTAGGCACAAAATGATGTCGGAGCACAAAAAACATCTTGAGATAAAAATGCCTACATCAATATAAATCTGCCGAGTTTTGCAAACTTCCGGGTGAAAGTGCCTATGCGGCTGCCTAGGCGCCGAGGGCAGAAAAAAGTGCCCAAGGGTTCTTCTAGGTATGAGTTTGGCGCAGAATGTGTGATGTTGGGCCTATGTTCTTTACACTTGACCGATTCCGCCATTGGCTTACACGGCACCTCTGTGAGACATCTCTTTCTACCCATATCATGCAAGGTCGTGGACACTGCCCGCATAGTTTAGGTCGGGGAAGACAACAAGATTGAGGTGGGACGCTGATAACTTTCAAGAGTTTTCTTTGCGGATATCCAAGTTCTCAACTTTGGAGAAGGGTTCAACAAGTCGAGGCCGATGGCCAGTGTGCGACAAGTGTCTGCAGGCCGCGAGAGTTTGGGTGGCTCCAAATGAGGCTCTACAAAATTTCTTCAAGACTCCACCCAACACATCATCACAACGACGTTCCGCGGATTTGTGGTTGAATTGAGCGAAGGTTTAACATGGTTCAAACATGCACAATCCAATGAACGCAATCATCAGATTCTTTGCTTTTTCAATGAGAAGGCACCCATGTCAGGATGTTCAAGACCGTTTTAAATGACAGCGTCATAAAGGCTGCTCAGAATGGCAAACAGAATGGTAGCAAATAAAAACAAGTTCTGCGTTTTCTAACAGTCGACATATTCATACCTTTAGGATCCTTTAGGCACAATAAAACACCTCATTGCCCAGCTCAACTATTGTCAGACTTTCAGCATGTGTAGGCCAAGGCAAGTGCGTTTCCAGCCTGAAAAGTTGGAGCCAGTCGCGCAGCCATGCAGCAGCGGGAGGTTCGTGTTCGGTGGGCAAAACATGGCAAACCAATGGACCAATCCAAATGAGAGGGGACCTGAGCAATTCCAGGATGGAAACTGACAACCCTGTGAATTTGTCCCTGTCAAATGGGCTAGAAAGCTGGCAAGTTTGTCACCTGCACATGGCGACCGAGGCTTGATTTCAATCTTCCGAGGCTTGAACCAGGATGTGCCAAGAAGCAGCATGATGACTCCAGACACTTGAAGCAAACAAAATGGTTGGAAGAAAACTGGAGAAGGTTCGCTGATAGAGTGTCGTTTCCGTGGTCGAAACATATCTGAGCAAGAAAAGAGCCCAAATGAGAAACATGTTCCTCCAATTCTGCACCTCGCAAAACAGTAATCTGTTTGTGCGCGCACAGATGTTTGGATGTTCGTACCGATTCGACCAAGGGCGCGTGAAACATGAAGGCCACACCATCAATCCAGAGATCGCACCAACAGCTGGGTTGCTCCACGCGAAAATCTTGGAGCTTCATGCCTCAGGGAAAGCAAAGGCACAATCAAAATCTGCGGCTGTAGCTGTGTCTTGCTGGAAGCAGTCGGACTCCGAAACGAACGACCTGCTCTCGTTGACACATTTGTGCAGCCAAGATTCTGCATTCTCCAGAATCGTCACAACTTCATCGTGGCCCTGTTTTCGTGCATCGTCCAATGGAGTCTGGCCTGAGCGCTGCAATTGATGTTGATTGCACCACACTCATGGGTCTTGATGTCATTTCAAAAGCCATATATTGAAGAATTTACGTGTAGAGATTTGTAGAGCGTTTGATGTATCGAATTCGGTCACTTTAAAACAAAACATTGTTGCCGTCATTCTTCACGCCAGTTATTCAAGTTGCTCCAAACGCTATTCACACCCCATGTTAACAATGTTGATTCGGCTGAAGTTCTATCTCCCAGAGACAAGCCCTCCTTGAACCCCGCCAGAATCCAGAGCTTGCCATTAACTTTCATGGTAGCGTTCATAGTTCATAGACTGTGTTGAAACTTGTGGAAAGACTTCAGTTTCACATCACTTCGGCATCCCTTTGTGGCATTCGAAGTTGAAGGATACCTTCAAATTCGAACCCCCAGACCAAAACAAATAACACATTTGAAATGGTGCTTCTCACGGATATAAGCACGTAAGAAAAGTATTCCAGAGATATAGCTTTCAAGTAAAATACCCTCAACACAAAATCAACCGATTGGACGGTTCCTGCGCTAGTTCAGTCCAGGAGGGCAAAAAAATCCAATGAGAAAAAAATCTAGAGAATCAGGTTGTCCATACATGCCCATACAGCTTCGAGATGGCAAGTTCGGTGTTGTATAATTTCGCTCTGGCATCTTGAAAAATATCTCGAACAAATGAGGATATGTGTATATGTAGTATGCACGCATCATTTTCATGCAACGTATTGCACATGCGGAGGCTGGATGTGCGTTGTGCATATTCACAGATACCATGGATCATATGATACATCATGATACATTTCTATCAACAAACATTCAGTGAGTCTCCATCCATTGAGACCTCGTCCAATGCTGCTTCCATTATCTCAAGCAATGCTGTGTCTTTGGGATGTCGAATGATGTCGTAGAATGCCTGTCCAAATGCGTACTGTGTCTCCGCATCTCCAATCACCTTCAGCCAAACAACCCTAGTGCCTGAGGACCCTAAGACCCCTTGATGGCCTCCTGACCATGGGAAGTCTGAATGTTCAACAAACGAAACAGCCGCCACAAAGTAATATATAAATATATATAATAAGTATATAGTATAATTTGATATGATATGATATGATATGATAAGATAAGTACAGTAAGCAAAAGCCATCAAAAACCCATCACATCTCCCAGTCGAGGCCCCCGGCCATACTTGCTTTTCACAATCACCGAAGCTTTCGCCTCGACGAGCAGCTTCACCACCTCTACTTGGCCTTTGATCGCCGCGAAATGCAGCGGGGTGCTGCCTCGGGCGAGCGACTGCTCCCAGAAATGTCCTTCTGATGCAAAGCAAAGTGAAGACACCAAAGATTGTGAAAAGATTGTGAAAAATCCATGAAGTGCCAAGTCTCCGAGAAGCTGCACATCCAAGGCTCCATCAGGAGCCCCAAATACCGCCAAGTTCAATTCTTCTCATGATTGAAATTATTGGTGTTTTAATCGTGTGATATCTATTGATGCATTTTTTTCAAATTCTGTCCGTGTGTTGTTGTTGATGTAAATGATTTCAACTGGAAACTGCCTTTTTTTAACCGTTAACCCTTAAAGCGTGCCTCATCAAAACCGCCATGGGTTTTACATCGATTTTCTTAGCAGCCTGAAATCTGCCCAAAGCACCGTCTCCATCTCTTCAGGGCCGAGAGGCCGCTGACGCTGGCGTCGACCTCGGCCTTCGCCGCCAGCACCCGGCAGATCTCCTCGGGCTTCGAGGCCACCGCGCCGGGCGTCCGCAGGATGTGGCGCACCGCGCCGAGGCGGCCATTGAGGGCCGCCAGGAGGATGTCGGTGCGGCCTTGGGGCCACGGGCCGCCCCGGGAGGGGGTTCGGTGGAAGGGCCGCAGAGGCCACAACGGAGACCCAAAATTTCGTTACAAGAATTAAGCTAGAATGAAATCTAAGTTTGAAGACTTGAGCGAGAATGAAGTCTAAGTTTAAGTAACCACAAATAATTCAAGTACATGATTTGGTTTTAAGACAATCCATAGATCTCAACATGACCTCAGCATGACCTCATGCAATCAGTCTGACTCCTTTTAAGTTTGTTGGCTCAACAACTATGTGTATTGTATGCTTTGGATATGCTTAAATTGTATAGAACGAAGACTAGGAGAAAATAGAAACATCATGAAACAATATGAAACATCTGATTTTGAGGTCAGATGGGATATGATGGGATATGATTGGATATCGTTTCAGAATTAGTTTGGTAAATTCGTGCAATGTGTGTCGAGATGTGTCGAGAAAGCACTGACCATGCAGGGAGCAGACCCGGGATCAACTGCTGAGAGCCCAGCATTCTGCCGCTTCTTTCTCATCCTCTGCTGCCTGCTTTGCCTCAGCTGCCTGGTCTACCTCAGCTGTCAAGTGAACAGACACAAAACTCACCGGTGAATTAAAAGTGTTTTCATTGTTTAGGGAGGCGGTCTCATGCTGAGGATCCACCACTTCATGAAGCATGTTTGCCTTCATTATCCACGCACAAATGCTTCTGAACATGCAATGCTGCACAACATGTTTTTTGCCCCGCCATCCCAAAACACGAAATCAGTATGGTGCATGTTGAAGCATTTGAACAATCATCATGGGCATGCGCTGCAATGCGCTGGTTGTGTTGCTTGAGCTGGGGATGCTTATCATGTAATTATTTCAATGTCAAAATGGGTTGACTCGTTCTTGACTTGTTCTTCTTGCAACTTGTTCTTCTCTTTCTGCGAAAGAGTTCAATCTTGTTTGAATTTGAAGGCCCTGAACCACTGACAGGTGAACTACTGTCACATTGCTCCTGTCACATGCCAGGCCGCTGCAACGACCGTCAGCGTGATGCCAGGCATGACGTTTCCTTCTGCGAGCATCTTCTCTTCGTCCCTTGGCAAGTATGGAAAGATACTCTTGGACAAGCCAAGCTCTTTGTTCCAGAATTTGTGATCTTGATTCAAGAGACCTTCATTTTGTTTGCTGTTGCACTGGTATGAACATCCGAACCATAAATTACATGCACGTGTACTATTTGATACTATTTGCAAGTTGCAATACCTGGGAATATCGGAATACAGTATCTCATTCAATTCCACTTTCAAATTGTTCTACGTAACACGTTCCAACGTGAGTCATTCTCCAGAGGACGCTGTCATTCTTAGTCCTTCGCCGAATGAGCCTTTCCACACCTGTATTTTCCTGGACTTAATCGGACTTTCCTGGACTTCATCGCTGCACTGACATTTGCCATTCACCATCCAACACCTTGACGAACCTAAGTCACTGAAAAAACTCCTTTTTCTTTTTTCTAAATGGCAGAATTTGCCAGATATCTCAAAGACACTACGGATGTTACAGAAAGGCCCACGGACCCAGTATGAGTTTCACTGCTGCCACAACATCGTGTTTAAGGTCTGGTTGCATGTCCGATTGCATCCTATTGCAAACTTAAGCAGGCGCAACATCAATGAAACAGGCTAAAGTTTCGAAGAGTTCTTTGCAGCCCAAGCAGCAACGGCTCCATGTTGGGACCAATCAAGTGCTTTATAGCAATATCCAGCTTTTGCCTCGGGTGTTCAAATCAACTGTGGGGCACTGCAGGTTGCAACCGATCCCCTGCTCTTCTCTCATTTCGTAACAGAAGTGTGTGAGCAGCGCCAGAAACTGACTGCGCCTGCTTCAATCTGCGTCTAAGTTGATATTCCCTGGCCTCTTTGAAAATAATTGAAACTTCGATAAAACAAGTATACCATATACCACATTATACCACTCTAAATAGGAAGTACAACCGAGCATTGAAGGCCATGCAAATGCCTTGGGCATGTTCTTCCTCGGCTCCCGTTTGACAACTGTTGCACATAGCACAGCCAGTAACAGACACCTACGTAGCAGAAGGAACACCAAGACCGAAAACACCAAAACAGTGTCGGAGAGAATACAAAGTCGCCAAAGACAAGCCAGGACCAAACCCATCCAAACTCCACATGATATGCCGCACACCTAACTTGCTAAGGTGCTGAGCTTCTTCCTTCAGCTGTCGGATGGTCCGGTCTTGCAACCACAGGCCTGAGATTCCAAAAAACCAAACAAGAGTCAGTGGAGGTATCAATATAGTCCACTGATGCAGCCTTGTAGGGCACCAACCGGGTCATCACGTCTGATACCAGTTAATTCGGAGAACATTGGTTCATGAATTTGCAACAGTAACATTTTTCGCATCAACAGTAGCCACTTCCTTGCACGTCAACTGCAGCGATTTTACATGCTTAAACTAGCTTACACATCCCGGTTTGAATTTCACCTATGGGGTCGAGACCCGTCATTTTGTGGGCCTCAGCCATTATAAAATGATGGTTCCAAACCTCCAAAGGGTTACGGAAAATGACAACATGATACTGCTACAAAATGAAGATTGGTTTTCAAAGGCTTTTATCATGAGGCTACTTGAAGGGAACACTCAAACACTGCAAAGTGACGATTGGAAAGGATATGTGTTTCACTGGAGGAGGCTTTGAGGAAGCACTCATCTTTCTCACTAAAATGGCAAGCTCTCAGCCAAAAACGGGCTTGCCATGGCGGGCGTGGAAACGCTCAATGCTTTCCTACAAATTTGGAAAGGGGATAGAAGGAGTGGCTTCTGAAAGCCCACGTGTTTTTGCTACAAAATGAGATTGGGATGGATTGGGTTTTAACATGTTGTTGTCTGAAGGGCAACTTGCTTTGCCACGGGTTTTAACATGTTTCTTGCGAAGGGCAACTTCCCTTGCTAGAAAATAAGATTGGGTTTTAACATACTGTCTTCCGAAAGGCAAATTCCCTTGCTACAAACTGACTGTCGATTTTTAAAGATCCTTCAGCTACCGAAACATTGAAATCTTGCAAAATGCAATTCCCAAGCTGTAGCTACAAAATGCCTGGCCCAACTCCCAACCCCATTTTGGCATCTTAATTTAAACCCGGAAAAATACCAGTAAATACCCTTGATGTGGGGCACAAGGCCTCCCATTCTGTGGAAATTCGAATGGGGATGCTTACACCATCTTACACCTTGGACAAAGGAAGGTGTATCCATGGGGCGGCCGAGTCACATTCACAGTCTTTGCCGCTCAGCAGAGCCACGAAAACCTGGCCGCTTGGCTCATGATGCACTAGCTGCTAGCTTGCTAGCTAGATGATTCTGTGGATTTAAAGCGGTTCAGATGCGTTCAGGTTGAATTTGATGGCAGACCACGAGAATTTGCACTCGCAAACGCACGAACATTCTGACCTATTGAACACGGTTTTGGCATGGGACTGGCTCCTGCAAACCCATGACCTTCTTGTCATCGCCGTCCTTTGCAAGGTCGTGAGGTGTGGTGCCTCGCAACACAACTCAGCTCCAAAAGCCAAACATCTGCAGCACCGAGCCAGAACAGAAAAGCCCACAGATCCCACAGGAACTTCATGATTTCATGCTCTTTCGCTCTTGCGGCGAGGTAAAAACATGTCCACGATACTGTTGCACGATTCCGAAAATCACTTGGTTGCATGCAATTCTTGCAATTTGCTCTGGATATGTGCAGGATTCAAATTAGTTAAAAGGAGAGGCCCTGAAAGGTGAGACCCTGAAATGGAAAGACTGTGAGACATGAGACTTGGACCATAGTGAAAGGCCGCACTTTGACAGAGTAATGTTTCTACATTGCCATGAAAGAAATATATAGAAATATAATTTCATGTCTTTCAACCTGAACAATCTCAGCGCGAAGCACGGCGAGGGTTGGATCACAATCTCATTTGGAGCTAATGAGTGGCCAAGCAGTGCTATGTCTTAGAGCAAATCGCGCTATATGTATAATGTAAATGAAAATATCTGTGCCAGGAAATACTTTTCAGAAAATTGGCTTTCTGATTCAAAATACAGAATCAAAGACTACCGACTACCATAGCCATAGACTGCTTGTTTTGATTTCAAGAGAAGTGTGTTTTCAAGAGAAACCAACCCGTCCCATTGGGCGCCCACTTCCTAGGCGATCCGTTGACATTCATTGACCCTGATGAAGCTACAGCTGATACTTCAGAACTCCAATGAACAAATCAAGACATCTTAAGGTCTGAAAAATCACTCGAAACCTGAATTCTCCCAATACTTTCCGTTTCAGTCGACAATCAGGACCATACATTCTAGCCAAAATTCTAAGACACTACTCACTCCTCCCGCGGAAACGGCCCCTGGCAAGCGTTTTCGCAACCAGCACACCAACCATCGGCATCTCAGTGGCCTGCATCTGAAGTTCCCGGAGGAGCAGGTAGACTGTGACTCACCCGCTCTTTGGGGTCCTGGCGCAACGAAAACAAACTCTGCTCCTTGTGGACGAGGCTGCTGCACGATACAAGATTTCATGGTTGGACTGAAGTGGTTAAAAATTGCAAGGTTTGGATCGCCCACAGAAACGCGCCTCGAAATATGAGTTTGGTGCAGAATGTGTGATGTTGGGCCTATGTTCTTTACACTTGATCGATTCCGCCGTTGGCTTACACGGCGCCTCTCGGAGACATCTCTTTCTTGCCCATATCATGCGAGGTCGTGGACACTGCCCGCATAATTTAATTAGGTCGGGGGAAAACAACAAGATTGAGGTGGGACGCTGATAACTTTGAACAGTTGTCTTTGTGGATATCCAAGTTCTCAACTTTGGAGAAGGGTTCAACAAGTCGAGGCCGATGGCCAGCGTGCAACAAGTGTCTGCAGGCCGCGAGAGTTTGGGTAGCTCCAAATGAGTCTCTACAAATTTCTTCAAGACTCCACCCAACACATCATCACAACGACGTTCCGCGGATTTGTGGTTGAATTGAGCGAAGGATTATATAACCCAGCAAGTCTAAGGGACAACTTTTTGAGGTCGATCTCGCGGAAAGTGGTCCCAAAAGGACCATGTTCAGCATAGTTGGGACTATGTACTTTTTGGGTCCTTTGGGCTAAAAAGGAACATGTTATAATACCATCATATAGATGTACTTTCTGGGTCCTTTGGGGCTCAAAAGGAATGTTGCACATATATACATATCTCAGGCTGAGGCAGGGGTGTAGCAACCCCGCTTCAGCCAAGGGTTGTGAGTGGCGTGCCGGTGGTTCCTACGCAGTTACTTCAAATTTGAAATTCTGCCTCAAGGAGTCTGCAGCCTGAAAGCTGTGCCTTGGGGTGCATATGGGTGTCCTATAGTTTCCTCATCAAAATCCGCCCGCAACGAAGGTGCCGAGGCGTTTTTTGTGTGCCTGCGTGAACCGTTAGGAATTGCATTATAGAAATTATAGCTAATAAGCTTTAGCTTGGTCACATGGGGCCAACATAGCCTCAAATGGAGCCAACATACCCTCATATGGGGCCAAGATAGCCTGATACGGAGCTAAAAAGTGCCCAACATCCTCCAACATATGTGAGTGTTATTGACGGTAACCTTGATCAAGTAGTGTAAAACTGAAATATAAGCCCAACACAGGGAACACAAGTCTGAAGCACGACGAAGTCCTTAGACTTCCCGAATCCATTACACTTGGTGCGGGCGGTTTTCGTCGCGAAGCGACCGTGAATAGACACCTCTAACAAAGCGTGAGCAAAGCGTGCGCAGCGTGAGCAGTTCCTCGTAAGGACCCGAAAGGAATCTAAAGGACTCAAAAGGAACCTCAGCGAGTGTGAGCAAAGCGTGAGCAAAGCGTGAGCAAAGCGTGAGCAAAGCGTGAGCAAGCGTGAGCAAAGCATGAGCAAGCGTGAGCAAAGCGTGAGCAAAGCGTGAGCGAAGCATGAGCGAAGCGTGAGCGAAGCGTGAGCAAGCGTGAGCAAAGCGTGAGCAAAGCGTGAGCAAAGCGTGAGCAGCCCATTCTTGATTACAAATTTCGCAATAAAAAGTCTTTCAACAATGTCTACAATCTTGGGGCGTGCCAAGGCAGCAGAAAGAATCTAGCTGCAGCTGCATGGACAATATATTGACCACGCCTCTCGCAATCGACTTTCTAGTTCTTCAATGCGCCGCGCTGCAGCAGCTTCTGCTTGACGCAACGAGCGGACCTACAACACCAAGGTACCAACGAGTCCTTCTTTTTCTAGCTAACATCACCAAACACAACACTCTGACCAACAAAGCACACGTTGACAGATATCGCATCGTGGAGTTATTGGTGCAGCCCACCGAAGTCAACCAAAAACAAGTCTGAGGATCTCATGGGCATGGTGCCTCTTCGTTCAGTTGCGCCACCTCTTCTTGGAGTTTCTCCGCGTTGTGCGCTCCGGCCTTCCAGACTCGAGCAAGCACAGCGGACGTGTTGGATTTCTGCAAATGCTGATGCTGTGACAAAACGTCCCATCTTCAACCACCGCTGTCAAAGCTCTTTAAACCCATATCAAATGACACAGAAACGGCACTTCTTGTTTGCAAATAATTTCGGTTTGAAGTGCAAGAAAAGTCGTGCCGTGCTGTTTCGTTGTGGTGTCAGCTGCATCGAAATCTGCTTCGCACAGGTACAGTAGCTAAAAACCTCCACTCTTCTCCCCAAAACTTCTGATGCAAGTTGCACCTTGAATCCAGAGCAAACTGGGTTCCACATGAAGTTTCATGCTAAAGAAAAGGATGACACGTCCTGCTACATCAACTCAGCAAGCCCGCGGTTCAAGCTTGCAGAACCGACTTTGTCTGTGTGTGGCAGCATTTCTTCAAATGTGTACTGGAAATATCTGGGAATGAATTTGGACAACCGATCTTAGAGGTTGATATCAAGCCTCAAATTGCCGCCTAGCCAACTACTAGGTCCGGTGATGATAGATGGCCGTATGGTTTCGTAGACATTCATGTCATCTTTGAAGCACTTTCATCAGCTGTCAAGTAGTAAAATCCTCACGCTGGCCACACGAAATGGCAATGTAGGGTAAAAGTTGCATAGTACTATCTTTGCGCGGCCTCTTTTGTAGCACGAAAAAAGAATTCTCTTCAGTTTATGGTGATTATTTTCTGGCGTAGTGTAGCATGACGTGTGTGTGTGTGTGCAAACGCAAGATAACGTCCAGTAGCGTAGCATGACGTGGGTATGCAAATGCAAGAGAACATCCAATAGCGTAGCATGACGTATGTGCGCAAATGCAAGAGAAAGTCCAGTAGAGTAGCATGACATGCGCATGCACATGCAAGAGAACCTTCCGTACTGTAGCATGATGTTGGTGTGCGCATGCAAGAGAACGTTCAGTAGCGTAGCATCACGTTTCTGTGCAAATCCAATTGAACGTTAAAATTCATGGATCCATAATGACCCATATGGATCCCGGATACTCGCCCTACCAACCGTCTCAAATTTTGCAAGATCTCGCCTGTGAAAGGGCCGTGTCCATGGGCATGGTGAAGCCATATGTCCCATTTCCCACTTAGAAATTCATCTTTTTTTGGACCCAGATGCATTGAAGAATTTGGCATCAACTGGATTTGTCAAAGACTCACAACTCAGAAATCCAAAGAGCCAAATCAGCTCAACAGTTCTCAGAGCTTTGGCGTTGACGTTAAAGGATATAGCAACTCACGGCAACCCAACACACAGATGGACAGGATACTCGGGAACCATGAGGCATCGTCAGCAACATCCTGGATTTGACTTAAATATATATCATTATACTATTTGGGGTTCCTGGTTCCTGCATTTGAACTTTACTTGTCATCGCACCTCTCTCCATTGCAATCGCAATCTGGGCGCCTCTTCTGGGAATTGCTCTTGTGCTCGGAGTCTCTCTGCCTCTCGAGCTCCGGCCTTCCAGGACGACTGGACCAGCACAACGGAACACTTTGAATTTTAGGGATGCCACTGCTGTGACCAGCTGTCACATCTTCAAGCATGGATGTGAAAAAATAGTAATAAAAATATATCAAGACCCTGCTAAATGAATTGGAAGTGGCACTATATGTTCATTGGTTTGCAGACAAACTTGTATCATCTTGTATCATTGGAAGAAAAACTGTGCAGGCTCGCTGGCAGATATTGTTGGCTACTCGCATCTAAATCTGCTTCGTGCAGCAAAAACCTCGCCGCTTGCCTGCAGCTCCTCCACTCTTCTCCTCAGACTCGGGACCTTGCGAGGCGCATGCAACGCACCCCATAAACTTCTGACACAATTTCCGTCTTGGATCGACAGGAAATGTTCGATTGGCATTGCGCTGGAAGACAAGACCCAATATAACTCTATGTGACACACTCTTGTGGGTAAAACATGATTCAACAAAAAACATTTCGTCCAAAGTTACAAGTTCTACTGGATATTGGATAAATCAAATCGGATAAAGCATTCCTCCACAGTCACGGGCAGCTCTGATTTCATCCACAAACAGGATTTACTACAGGTGCATCAGGTGCTATCAATATCTATATTAATTAGATGTTGAACATTCGTGACTCGTGTCATGGATCCCAAACGATCCCGCTTTTTTCGGCCCCGAAATTGATGAGATCTCGCCTGGGCGAGGCCGCCGGCCACAAAGGCATCGACATCTGCGGCCTCGGCCAAGGGTTGGGCATGATGAAACATGGTGAAACAATCAGCACAACTTGGCACAGCTGAGTTCCATAGATATTTCTTTGAAGCTGGAGGATCAAGCCCATCAACCGCATCCTTTGTGGAAGAAAATCTAAACAATCTAAACAATCTAAACAATGACCTCAGCATGCGCCATTTTTAAGGTCTTGTTGTCACCCCAGTGTGCACTTGACGAACTTCCTGTCCACGGCCTCCTCGGGTGTCAGCTGGAAGTGAACCGAGCCGCCGCTGCCCATGGTGAGCCTGGGAGGTTGAAGGCTCCGCTGCTCAAAGGCCTTCTGCGGAACCTCAAGGTGCACAGTCTGTGCAAAACTTTCAGCATGAAACTCGACTCAACAAGACGGCCAAAAACATCCAAAAGCGGCATTGATAGCATTGGCATACGACATAATTGGCATACTGCTACATTCCTGTCCGACGTAGAGTTTTGTCCCGGTCTGGCATCCGCATCCAAAGCTGAGGCCAAGAACGGAGAGGGCAATGAATTCAGGAGTGGCAGCGAGAAAGATGAAAATGCCAATGACTTTGCAAAGGCACTATTTGCATTGGCATCTTTCTGACTAGATTCAAGTTCCCATTTGACCATTGCCACTTAGTGAAGTCTCCTGCGTTCACAACTGCACCATGTGATTAAGACCTGCCAGTTTCATGCGTATGCTTTGATATGTTCGGAGCTGCAAACTGTGCTATGTCAAGCCAAAAGCCAACTGCTTGGTTCATCTTGGTTCTATGATGATCGGATCTTGGAGAGATATCCTTGTGATGAGACGTCGCAACGCTTGAACGCATAGGTTGATCGATTCTTTTCTCCACAACTTTGCAGGTTGAACCCGAGCACAGAACATCTGTACACCAGCACGGTAATTGTCCAACCTGGTGTGTTCAAACAGCCCCGGCTGTTTGAGTTGAAATCACTTGCAATCCAAGGTGCCCCCGCTGAAGGCCATTTCCATGCCAGTGCTGAGGCCAGCAGATAGGAGCAGCATACCCCAACTAGAGCACCAACTGGCCCTCCCACCACACAGAGCGCGATGCCGGCAATGGCGGAAGCACCCACAAGCAGCCACTGGCCCAGAGTTTCATACCACTTGGGCTTGTTGAGCTCCTTGATGTCCTGAAAGCTGATGCATGCTGTTCCAACATGAAGTGATTCAGTGATTCAGTGATTCAGGGCACTTCCGGGCACAAATGACATGGAGGAAAATAAATCCTGAGTGACGCCGAATCAGGAGAAACACTTTCTGGGAAGTTCTAAGCCGTTCGTGGAACCTGTAGATTTGCTGGATAAATTCATACAGCATGCATTGTGCAGGATGCTTCCATGGCTCCTGTTCCAACTTGGTCAGGTTTTCACTTGCTGAGTTCAATTTGTCCGCTTCATCTGACAACTCGTTGCCCAGCCGCTCCGACACATTCCGCAAATTGTCGAAGGCCTGTGCAAGTCGATGGTGAATCCAGCAGCGTGACAGTGTGCAACATGCGTGGAAATACGCATAAAATAGACGTGAAATGACGTAGACAAGACGTATAAGTGCAAAACATGTGTTCAAATGGGATGTCCAAAGCCTGGTTCGTCACATCCACTGCCCTCTGCGCAGCTTGCTGGGCAGCTGCCTGCTGTTGATCTGCAGCATCTTGTGCAGCTCTGTCCGTTGCTGCCAAGGTCTCCTCAAAGACTTCAGCAGCACGTCGCTCGTATGAGGCTTCAAGCGCCTGCACGTACATCTTCTACATCTTCTCCTCAGCTTGCACTTCTTCCATGAAGCGCATCGAGGAAAGCATCTCAGCCACGTCCTGCTGACAGCTTCAGCCAGGAGGGCAAAGCGTAGCTCCTCCTTCGCCATGTCCTCTTGCTCGGAGAGATGCACCGCTCGACCACTGCGGCCTTTTCCCTCATGAATCCATCCAGCACCAGAAGTTTGGCACCAACTGCCCTGGGGTCTGACTCGTACACTTTTAAGTGAAATGCGTGATGAGGTCTATGATGACAGGAAGACTGCGTCTCTCAGTCTCCAGGTTTGAAGCCATGTGTTCCGGTGGCAAGCTATCCATCACACTGTTCCAGCGTTCCCTGGCGACCTGCCAGCATTGAGACACACTTTTCAGCATGTTCATCTTGCAGAGATTCGTCTGATCCCTCGAGATGCGGCGCATGCACTCTGCTTTATGTGCTGCACTTTCATCAGAGGTGAGGTCAAGGTACTCCAGGCGTGCGTTGAGCTTGTCCCAACACTCTCGAACAGCATCATTCGAAACTTCTACAAGTTTGTCCTTGGGCAATGGAAGATGATCCGTGTAGGACTCAAGGCGTTGAGCATACAACTCTGCTGACTCAGCAGCTGCTTCGACTGCCTGTTGGTTGGCCACCATCCTTTTCTGAATCCCATCACGAGTCTCGGATTGCAAGGCGTTGTTGTAGCTTTCCACCAGCTTCTGGAATGGGATGGCTGGCGCTAACATAATGTGCTGCGCCAGCTCGTGGCTCAGGCTGGAGGCATGGCATAAGGGGACAGCACTGACGCTTCGAAAGCCGGCAGCCTTGCTTGCAGCTGCAAGCCCGGACCAAATGGATTCAGGAAGGTCTTCAGGAAACAGCAATGACAGTGAGATGTCATCCGTTTGCTCTGGCATGGCACAGAAGAGCGCATCCAAATTGGCATCCTCTGGGTCGCCCAAAATATGCACCATATGAGCAAGAATGCCAGGCGCCAGCTGAATCTCACACATCTCACTGCTAAGTAGCAAGACTAGATGATCCCCATCTTGGCCCTTCAACACCATTGTCCGGGCACTGCCGTTGTCATCCATGTCATCCATGTCATCCTCATTTGACTCCAAGTGTACTGGAACTCCACATGCTTCTGAGAGGAAGACAGACACCAGTTGGTCTTGTCTTTCTTTGTCGCAACCTGATACATTCACCACCCGCACCTTGGCATCTTCGGGAAGTTGGTCCTGCTGCATGGGGCCGGTCACGCAAAATACGGCCTGGGAGATCTCTTGATGGTTGCTATCGCACTCGACTTCCGAATGCAACGCTTCAGCCACTGCGGCCATGGCAGCTGCTTGTGCTATCTATCGAATTATTGAGCTGGGCCCAAAAAAACTGCCAGCCGGGCACGTCACAATTTTGCAATTTCACTGCCTCTGCTCATGAGAAATTGAGATTCAAACTTCCACGGTGCAAGATGTCACAGTCATGAAAACTGATTCTCAAAGTCTCACATTTCTACATCAAGGGTCACATTGCGTCCTGAAGACAAGCTGTGACAAGCTTGCAAAAGGAATGAATGGTCGTAGGAGGGTCTACCCAGTTTCCTCGAAGAAAAATGCCTGGAATCAGTGACATTTTGAACCGAAGCTGCCGCAGCTCCCTGGCTTTAAAAAGGCTCGCGTTGCAAAGGTACCTCGGGTCACCCAGCCCACGCGTACGAGCTTGCAGGGCTGGTTTTCCCTATGTGCGGCTACTGATGTCTCTTGTTCAAACATTGGACATATTTGGACTGCCGGACATAGAAGCCAATGTTTAGAAAGCATTCCTCCACACTCACACTGAGTTCTGATTTCATCCACATCTTCCCGAACTATCCATGCCGATCCATGCCGGGCAGTGGGGCACCAATTAAACCAAGGGCGCGTGAAACATGAAGGCCACACGACCTACATCAATCCAGAGATCGCACCAACAGCTGAGTTGCTCCACGCGCAAATGTTCAGGCTTCATGCCTCAGGTGGCGCAAAGGTGCAATCAAAATCTGCGGCTGCAAGGGCCGCGTCTTGCTGGAAGCTTCGGACTCCGAAACGAACGACCTGCTCTTGTTGGCACATGTGTGCAGTCAAGATTCTGCACTCTCCAGAATCCTTACAATCTCACTGTGGCCCCTTTTTCTCGCATTGTCCAATGGGGTCTGGCCTGAGCGCTGCAATTGATGTTGATTGCAGCATCACGTTCATGGGTCTTGCTGTAATTTCAAGAGCCATCTTGAAGGATTTACTTGCGAAGCATCTCGTGTGTCAAATTCCGCCACTTTAATGCAAAAAAAACGTGGCCTTCATTCTTCACACCAGTTATTCAAGTTGCTCCAAACACTATTCACACCCCATGTTGATTGGGAAGTTCCATCTCCCAGAGACAAGCCCTCCTGGAACCCCAGGGTCAGAGTCCAGAGCTTGCCATTAACTTTCATGGTAGCGTTCATAGACCGTGTTGAAACTTGTGGAAAGACTGCAGTTTCACATCACTT